CCATTGGCGGATTTCCGACTTACAGCGATTCCGCATTTTACGAAATGGCAGCTCATCTTCTGTGTGCGATAAGTAAGACAAGTGCCTGTTCTCGTAAGATGCCAGACTCTTGTTGACTCGACTAATGGTATCCATAGTAGGTTTATTTCCAGAGAAGTGAAAATTGATGTTCTCATTATGCCTGATAGGCGACGGCGGGTTTTATTTTCAACAATTATGTTAATGGGCACCAGCACGCCGCGCCTTCGGAGCAGAACACATATTTCTGCAAAGCCCTTGTGGGTGGAATGGAAACTTTGTCGTCAAAAGTTTGCACTTCCTAGCCTATGTGCTCAATCCAAAAAAACACCTTCATCTGCCGTCACGTTCTGCGATTGGTTTTAATCGGTCTCTTGAAAAGTTTTGGCGCCTATTCGGCTTTTAAATTCGTGTCCTGTTGCTTCGGAAGGGGCTTCACGATCGTTCCTTGAGAAATCTGTGGGTGTATCGTTCCCATTCTTCACGGCCTTTGAGAAGGCCCTGGATATTCGTGCTTTCATCCAGTAATCGAAGTCCCAACACTATTTTGCGCTACGACAAATGCAGCAGCCGGCCTCGAAGACCAACCGAAAGCCGGGGGATCCGAAGAAACCAGTAACCTGAGCGTATTTTCTGATGCAAAAAAGTACGCGAAGCACCAGATGTCCAGTACTGTTTTGTTTACGGAGCCAGTCACCTCTTATTTTCTTAAACACAACCACTAGTTGCCAAAGATTCTGTACGACCGGCTTCCAGTTAATCGGTGCCTAACCGAAGACCAGTTGGGCACCCGCAGGACCCTTCGGAAATATGGAACACCCTCATGTGAGTTGCGGCAGTTTGTGACGGATTACTTCGGCAAAATTCTTACCCTCAGGACATAAGCAACTACCGCCGGAAGTGTCGACCGGCTATGTTGAGCAGGTGCCGCACAGTTGGGTTTTAATGTGGCGTATGGTATGCTTTCGGTCCCGGCAAAACTTCGGAAAACCGGACGCTAGCTTGTGCGCCGGTCAGAGGAAGGTCACTAGAGCCATGTATGCTTCTCCCGATGGCGGCAGCACTGATCCCTTCTCCGATCTTCACTATCCCGGAATCGCTTTATACCAAATCTCGCTGTACCGTGATAACAACTTGTGGCCTGATGCCACCAAAAAACAACATGACGGCCTCCAGCCACTTATCTTCTGCTCATGACCACGAGCCCCCAACTAATTATAGTGTTTATTCCCAACTTGTGGGTGGCATACCATCAAGCATGACATTTACGGTGCAGTCAAAATAGAAGCAAGACTGGCGGGAATCGTGGGCACGGGGGAGTTGGGACAACAGACAGCGTCGTGGAGGTAAGCATTATCCGATGTAGGCATGGTGACCACTGAACCGGCACGGGTGGGGAAGCACAGTTAATATGCGTTTGTATAGAGGGTATCGGGCAACATTGGATCGTTACAATTTGAAGGTAGCGGGCAAAAAATAAAGCGAGGGAGGCAAAAACAAGGGGCTTTTAGCTTGACACATGTCGAGAATGATGCGATCGTGGAAAATGACGAACCGGAAAATCACATCTGGTGGAGCCGCAGAGTTTTCGTTGGCCACCTGGTGATATTGAACTAAAACCTAAATGACTGTTGCGGCCTCGTTGCCTTGGATGTTAGGCGCATGGCCAGGTTCACAAAACGCCTAAATGAGAGTGATAAAGTGGAGGGATTAGTGAGCCGATAAGTGGTAACAGGAATCTCAAAAACATGGTGTACAGAGAAACCGTAGCGATTCACGGGTGTCGCTGTTGGGGAGCCCGGCATAATGGCTCCTTGACAGAAAGATGATGGCAACACACGAGCCGGAACGCGAACTGCATAGAAAGTTATTAGAGTTCGCGGGAATCATGGGCACACAGAAATGGTATTATTCGAACGAAAGTTTCAGTACAATGGAACGAACATTTCATGGATGCAGCTAGGGTCAAGTGGGGGTCTTGTTCGTGTTTGCCGTTAATGGCACGAGCGGGCGACAGGGTACGGTCGAGAGAAGAACAGAATAGTTGCGAGTGTGCTATCAAACTGAATATGGCAGTACCATGCCACCACTGGCCTGATATACTTCGGCTTTTATACATCCTCGTAATGGACGTCACGTTTGAGGTCACTGGGCTGGGATGTGCGACTCTTCGAGCAGCAGGATTCTTTTCAGGCTGGCCAAGGACGAACGAAGTCTATCAAGGATCGCAAGATTTTTGGTCCGTTTGGGGATCCTGTGGATGGGGATTATTTCAGGCTGGCCAAGGACGAACGAAGCCTAGCTAGGATCGCAAGATTTTTGGTCTGTTTTGGGATCCTGTGGATGTAGGCCATAGGCCGGGTAGAGTGGATAACAGCCAAACAGGTCGTCCAAACCGGATGTTGGTGAAGTTCAAAGCTTGGAAGCTGAGGGGATGGGATAAGAGTAGTAAAGTATGGTGGGTTTGAGGAGACGTCAAATGGAATAGTATGCAGCCGTATACATAGAAAGAACCCGGTGTCCACTGCGATTAGGCTAGATCTAGCGAAAGCCGATATAAGCACGCATAGTGGTAATGTGATTATGGAAATCAGATATACTTGGGCTGATGAGAGTGAATTTCCGAGATGATGGACTGGTTAATCTGGTATTTATTGCATGAGTTGGACAGTACCGGGGGAGAAAGGAAGTGCAAGGGAAGTAGTCAGCGGTCCCCGAAGCACTGCTATCATCCTCGAGTTAACAATTGGTGCGCGGC